GAATGCACGGCTAAAATATCAGTATTTTGTGAAATTTTTAATAGTTCGAAAACTTTAATGGAAAAAAAAACAGGAAACTCATCCCACTCAATGCATAAATAATAACTTCAAGAGAATTTTAATTAATCAAAAATATTGGTGAAATCGTTTCTTCTACAACTTTACCTCGATATTAGCTACTTTGAATACTTGATAAAGACGTGATAATGTGTTTCCACCATTTAACGTTGCTGAAAGTATCGAAATAGCACTTTCCTGTCCAAGGATTACTCCGTCACGTAAGGAATGAAAGCATACTGATGACCTGCAATTATTAGTGACTTTTTTTAAAGTTTCATTAATTTTTTAAACAAATTTTGAAATAATCACAGAGACAAAAATGATGAACTTTTCATGTGCCATATGTGTATCATCAACCATTATACTAATTTTGATTGCAGCAAAAGATCAAATTTGCTATGTCATCTTTCTTTAGAACTGATTCAGAAAGTTATTCAAAGTGAGTGTAAAAGGGAAAAAATCTGATAAAATTAAAATTTAAAGCACAAACCTGTTTCTTCCCGCTGATTCGTAAACATGAGGTGTACCAAAAATTACGGAAATATCAGACATTGTCGGTTTCATTTTCAGTGCATTATGTAAATGTCTGTAAAAAGGAGTGCAGGCAAAATTTTAATCGTAATATTTTTGGATGTGACAGGAATAATGTGATTTCATAAAGCAACTTGACAATGACACTAAATATGCACACTTACTGCTTGAAATCCTCAAGATTCAATCCTAGAAGATGAACATTCTGATCGAAGATAAATTTCAGCAATGATGGTAGTTTCACATTATGTACCTTAAAAAAAGAAAAAATAGAGCTTTCATGTGTCATATCTTGGGAAAGAATTAGAACCAGAATATGCGATCCAAAATTATGAGTTACGCAACAGCTATTTAAACAATATTCTGCCACAGATATTTCATCGAAATATTCGAATGATTTCACCAACATCCCTCTCCCATCATTTTATCAAAACTTTAGTCTTAAACGATTGAAATAACCTCACCTGTTTAACAATATGTGCTATTTTTATGGATTCTGTTGCTGTTCGTTGTTGAGTGGCAACAATATCAAATGTAAACACACCTTCCGTGTAATCACCAAGCATTGGATCAATGCGAATATCGCCTGATACTGGATCAACCGAGAAGTATGGCGCTGATTCCATGGGTACTTCTTCATTTTCAGCACTGGAAAGATTTAAATTTCGTATGTTAAAATAAATAATAAAAATATCAAGAGAAAAAAAAAGATAAGAAGTGATACGGTGTGAAATGCATTGATCCAAGTTGATACGTAATGATCGGTTGATATGTTTTTAGTCGAGTCACTGGTATAGTTGATTCTGAATCAATTCCTGTAATGATGAGTAGTTATCTCAGCCATCATTTTCTGATATCAAGATTGATAAAGTTAATTCAGAAGCTGTAATGACTTACCAAATACACTAATAGTATTGTTTTGGAAATGATATTTCATTTTATTGGCCTGTTCTACAACGCTATTTGTTTCCGTTCGTATTGTAAATGCAATCATACTTGCATTATTACTGTCAAATGCTATTTTCGGTATTTTGGACATGTTCAGAGCACTGTAATAATTGAACTTTACAAAGAAACATTTAAAAATGAAATAGTTGAAATATTCCACAATCTTTCGCTGATATGCAATACTTGAAAGCAAACAATCTTTTTATCTTAAGATAAAAATTCTTATTAGTTGAATCAATTTGATTAAATAAATTTAATCAAATTTTCAAAAATTTATGAAAAATTATGAGACCTGACTAAGGCGCATAAATGATATTCGTTATATTTGAGATCATTAGGATTTGTCACCGAAACAATACCAGTTTGTTTGTCAATTGTGAATATTCCATCTCGATTTGAACCTTTACAGTAGTTTAATTAATTTTTCACATTCCATTTTTCATATTTATTCAATTACTCGCTACCTCACTGATAAATCCAATCACTCACGAGAAATTTTCTTTTGTTTTTTTTACTTTTCTTTTATGAAAAAACTTACAACTAGGTAGCATATAGTAATATGTAGAATTATACGGTGCATCATCTATATCCACTGCTCTCAATTGGCCAATGACCGTATTGCCCGGTTGAACCACAAATACCAAAGGTACTGACTGAAATTTTATAATCAATGATCAAGATCAGTGTATGATGGAAATCAAAGATCAAGATCAATAGAGCTACTCAATATCCACGCTAAAGTTTGACAGTCGATTCTAACGAAGTAACACTATCTTCCAATCCTCTTTTGCGCAGCGAAATGTCAATGATACAAAAAAAAAGAAAATGGGAACCTTTAATGGAGTTCAATTTTTTGTGTTTCATTTGAGCTCATTTTTTTATTAATAAAAAATGAAATTTCTAGAGAAAAAATACACTATGAATTTCCGAAAAAATTGGCAAATTGTCGTTGACATCTTTGACTTCAATTCGCAGTAGACGTGTCGCTGTTTTATCCATTTCCATTGCATTTTCCGCTTTTACTTTTAGCTAAAATTGACTAAAAGTAAATGTCGTCAATTTTCTCTTAATTTCTTTGAGAAAATTAACAAACTCTCCAGGGTCACATGTCTCTGATTGAATAAACAGAACTTTATTTAACAATAAAACTGGGAAATATTCCCAATTGACCTTATTTTGATAATGATTAGAGTATTTTCGTTTATTTTTCAAAATATTTCACGGATCACAAGGGATTATGAAAATTAATTTTTCTTTTTGTATCATTGGCTTTCTTGATAGTAAACTTGAATCCCATTAGTTATCGTGAAGGAGGAAAAAATTATCGAAACTCATAGGAAAAGAATGTCAACGCAGAATCTACCGCAAAATGCCTTCTGCATACTGTTTTTGATTTGAAACAGCTGTTGCTGATTTTCAAATAGGATATTTTGGTTCATTCAACGGGATGTCTTAGACCTTGAATTGAGTCCTCACCGCATTTTCTTTGCAGCCAAAGAGAAAAACTTACGGTAATGAGACATGAAAAAGGAGAGGAAGCATATTACGATGTGGTTGGAATCATAAAAAGATAAGAATTATTATACAGGTAAACAAACTGACCTTAGGATGAAGAAAATTAATTGAACTGTTGCAACTTACTTTATTGTTGATACCAAAGAAATCAACAAATTTTTTTGTTTAAAAAACATTTATTTTAATTAAAGAAATTAAAATCAAGCCACTCCTTGTGTTTTTCCGTTGCAGTGATATCTTTGTGATGCAAAAAGATTTTGTTCCAAAAATATTTGTAAAAATTATTCTTATTTATAGTTTGATTGGGTATAAGGAAAATTGCAACACCTGAATATCTATTTCAAATAAAAGTTCTGGTTTTCAAATCAATTAAAAGTAATGAACGCTGTGCTTGCAAATCCAACTAGATTCTGTAAAATATTCAGCAAATAGATTCTTATTTCTAGAATTTTAGCGAAAAAAAAATTTCCAGGCTTTTTTTTTGGGAAAAACTGAATTTCATTGTGTGCAAATTGACTTGACAATCTGAAGTATTCTAACTGGACAATTTGAAGTGCAAAAGATAATGGAATAGGTGGTGTGATGTTGCAAAGATGTCCGAAATTCCGTTGGTCATGTCCGATTGGTCATAGACCCTCAACGACATCTGTTTTCCGCCAGGAGCTATTCCAACTTACAAGTAAAATTGCATGTAACTTTTATTGCAATATAATTGTTGGAAGTGGTCAATAAGCAGGAAGGCACTATGTTGTACGACACTATTTGCAAACAAAGATATATTAAGACATATCCGAATTTGAAATAATGATGATATGAACTCGATAGCTCAAAAGTTTGAAATGAAAAGTTCGAAGAATTAAAGCGCCGCTTCATAAATTTAATGCCATTACAGAGGAATAACTAGTGGGAACATATAAACTCGAATGCTATTGGTGAATTAGAATTAGGGAGCCCAAAATAAAAGCAAACAACTAGAAGATTGAGATAATCCTGAAGACAAGTGGAGTGGAGATATTTAGGAGAATGTTTTATACATAGTTCAAATAAACAGAATTATCATTATCTAATTTATTTAAATTTGTAAAAATAGAAGATAATACAATAGACAGACAAAATAAATGACATACAGTTTCTGAAAATCTTTATAATAATTTAATGTAATGAAAAATAGCCTATATGGCCTTCATTTAATCCATTTAGTATCCTTATCCAACAAATAAGGATTAAAGTAGTTCATGGATGAATTATTTGTACTTTCTCGATAAGATTAAAGATCAATCCTTGGATGCAATATGTTCAAAAGTTTTAGGTAAGTTATGTGTGATTATCGTTGAATGTATGAAGTAAATGTTAATGATAAAAATATTGTTCTTTAGGAAGTCAGAGTTCAGCAGTCAGAATTCAAGAAATGTAAAGCGTGGAAATATTAAACGCACCTCTCTAAATTGTAAAGTTGAGGCTAGTTCCACAACAGATTCTGTGGAATGATATTTGGTTTCGGATTATTCTGATTAACGAAGAAGTTAAACAGAAGAAGCATAAGAATTTCTGAATAAAAATGGCCAAGAATATTTAAAAGATTAATAAACTGTATATCATAATATTGCTTGCTCAATGAAGTACAATTCTTGACTGCAATTTGAAAATCGAACATTTTTCCAGCTGTCGCAACTAATTATGGTAGATGCTCCGGAAAAAAAAATGATATTATTTGAAAAGAAAGGAAAAAATTTTCTTGTTTAGCATTATTTATAGTACAATTTTCAGTGCAACAACATTGATAGCAACCAAACTGCCAACATCAAGTTTGGTCGCATCACGTCCAAAAATGAACTGCTCCGGATTTGGTTTTTGTGCATTTGGTCGATTGATATCACGCAAATTCCAGTACGGTCTATGCCATACACCTGCGTCTGTATGCTGATACGGCAACAATGACGTGTAGAAACGACGATACACGCCTAAGTTAGCGAATAAACTGAGGTAAATGTTCAGGATACTTTTTTATACGAAGAGGTTTATGGATAACCTTGTAATGATCAAACTGGCTTATAAATATAGAATTTAAAATTGGACCTAATCTTATTTGGATTTCAAAAAGCATTTCGACTCTAGCCTTTAATTCAAATAATGTTTATTTCTCTATAGCAAATTCTCCAAATTAAAGATTTATCTCTTCGCAAGTATTTAGACTTCATATATTGCATGACAATCTCTCTTTATTGAATTGTCATATTTCACTGGCAAAGAATGTCGCTGGAGACCTTAATATGTTATCAAAAATGGATTAGTCCGGACATTTGGCATAAACAAAAAATCTGATGAGCGTCGAATTTCTGGAAGATTTTTTTTCGAGCCGCCAGTTTTTTTCCAGAACAAAGTTAAATTGATCCAAAATTATAGCTATATCAAGGATTTACCTTGAAAGCAATTTAACTGACAATGACGTGCACAATTTTCCTCTGTTACAGTTGATATCATCGTTAACGGCAAATGATAGTTACCAGTTCTACTCTTCATGTTTAATACACGGCGATTGTTTTGCCGAAGTGAATGATGAAGAGCTTCCTTC